AAGCACAAGGTCGTGAGTTCGGTTCCTGGTACCGGAGAAAAACCAAAAAAAAAAAAAACAAACCACAAAATGAATCTTGGCAGTGATGACATAAACATTGAAATGATAACATTTCTCTCCCTGGTCCCTCAATATTCATGCCCTTTGCACGTACAATATACCTTTACTTCATCTTAATAGCTCCAAAAGTATTAACATGCTCTATTACCAAGCATGTCAAAATTCAACAAGGTGAACGTTAAATCCTGAGGTTTGATGATAACTTTCTTTGACCCATGCCATAACTTTTGGAAACACTGAGTGGGGTTGGAATCCAAGGCCCTGGAAAGTCCCGTGGCTTTTCTAGTTTCAGGGCACATAACTGCCTCCACAAGTTGGAGTTTGGCAGCTACATCTCTCCTGCGGTGGCACTGCATTCTGTGGCTTGACAAAGGTGGGTCTGGGAAGTTACTGGGCATTGCCCTAGTTGGGGCTGCATCCCTGTGGCTCTTCTTTCTGGCTCCAGGGCTCTCCAGCACCGCCCCCCTGAAACCATGTAGCACTCCTTTGTAGCTTATGTATTCGGCACACTTGCAGAGTTAGCACCACGTGAATGCTGCTAAGTTGATCACTTACTTCCTTTGGAATAGCAGCCTGAGCTACACCTGGGCCTGCTGGAGATGCCCTTGTGACCTTGTGAGCCATAGCTTTGGTAGCTCAGGAATACCGTACCAGAATGCACAAATCCAGAAACCCACAAACACCTGGGCCTCTTTCTTGAAAGTATTCTACTCCAGGCCTTGGCCTGATAGGTATGGTGATCTGAAAGATCTCTCAAATGCCTTCACTGCATTGTCTCCGTGAATAGCACGTGGGCTCATTCTATTCAGATTAATCCCCAGCCTTTGTGTTTTCTCCTGAAGACCATTTTTATTCTACACAATCTGGCCAGGCTGAGAATTTTTCAAATCTTTATATTCTGCTTCTCTTTTGGTTAGAAATTCCATCTTTAATCCATTTCTGTCTTTTCTCAATTTAGCATACTGTCAGGAGTTGCCACTCAGTATGTCATACTGCCAAATATTCTAGCACATCCTTTTAGCTATGCACGTATTGCACATTCTAGCTATCTTTGTACGTTACCCAAGAAATTTAGTCTACTGATTTTACATGATCCTGAAATATACTTTATGATACTTTGATTAACATTTTTGGTGAGCTATTAATCACAATAAGACTATATCTGGTTGGTAGTGTTTGATGAATAGAAAACCTTAACTTTTATTTTTCTGGGAAAAATAGTGTCATGTATGAAAGGCTAGTTGTTGAAGAGCTTTATGAAATGGCTTTTGATTTCCAAGGAACAGTGATGAGAAAAAATGTGTCCAGTTTGCACATTTTAATTATAATGCATGTTTGTTTCACTAGCATTTGTGGAATCCAACATCTGGAACGCATAGGAAAGAAGCTAAATCTCTTTGACTCCCTTTATTTCTGCATCGTGACATTTTCCACTGTGGGCTTTGGTGATGTTACTCCTGAAACATGGTCCTCTAAGCTCTTTGTTGTTGCTATGATCTGTGTTGCTCTTGTGGTTCTACCGATACAGGTAAAGATAATCTTGTTAACCTTTATAGAAATGCAGTCTCATAAAATTGAATATTCTACATTTAATAAGAATACAGGGTAATTTATTTAGGTAACAATAATATACTAACACATACTGTTCCTATATTTAATTACAGTAGTGTATATAACTATATTAAGTATGTGAAAATGTAGCTTAAATTTTAAGATAATAGACTAAGGAAATAAATTTATGAATGATTCATTTCACACAGTTCTTGAAAATACACCTACAAGTCATGAACTGCAATGTTTTAAAAATCAATTATCTATGTTGGTCAATGAAGACAAAATATGGACATAGTATATAAACATCATGCAGCACTTTGGGCAGTAAGTACAGCTGTTGCAAAGGGACAATGGAATAAAATGTGACTAAAGATAAGTAGAAGCAATTTCTAACCCTTTCTTGTAGCGAGCCCTGGGTGCTCATGAGTGAGCAAATGGGAAACAAGATATAGCCACTGCTAATTATACCTGCATGGTCATACACAGTTTGATCATGGGACATTTAAAATTTACCTTTGCGAGTACAAAGCTGACCTTCCCATTCTTACAACTTTTTTCCTCCCTTGAGCCTTCTGCTATGCTCAGGTTAGGACGACTCTACAGCTAAAAGACAGCATTGAGTGTGTGGTAAGGTTATCTTCTGCAGCAGGACATGTAGGAGAATGAGAATAGAGAAATACCTAGGAGGTTTTTTTGTATTGCTCAGTGCACGACTTATCCTGTAGTACTGGCTATCGAGCAGATGCACAAAGCCGTTAATGACCTCATGTAATATACTAGCAAAATCATTTCAATATGTTTCCTAAAAGACCTGAAGTCACTGGAGTTCATTTATAGCCTCTGCAGAGATAATATAACTTTGTTGAAGGGATCACTGATAGTTTGAATCTCAATGAGTTTATCTTAAATTTTATTTACCTTACAGTAGACTGCTGCTCTGATTTTTTTTTAAAATTCTCATGTCTGGTGTTTTTTGTTCTCATATAAACATATTTTGCAGTTTGAACAGTTGGCATATTTGTGGATGGAGAGACAAAAGTCAGGTGGAAACTATAGTCGACATAGAGCACAGACTGAAAAGCACGTTGTTCTGTGTGTCAGTTCACTGAAGATTGATTTGCTCATGGATTTTTTAAATGAATTCTATGCTCACCCAAGACTACAGGTATGTGTGCATTATATTATGCACAATGCTAGATTATACCTACCAACATATTGCCAAGGTCACTTAACTAACAGTGGTACCTCATTCTGTATGATTTTTATGCAGCCAATTTACAAAGAATAAATGAACTGCAAATATAACCAGGAACATTGAAAAAATGCTGGAGAATAAATGGTATCTTAAGTTTCCTTCTGTATCTACACTAAAAGACAGATGGAATCATGTTAATGTTGGAAAGAAAAAATTTCTCTGAAATAAAGAATTGCTTTTATCCTTTGGATAAAGCATAAATGATATTTTTGTGAAACATTGAATTTTAACATAAAATATAATAAAACAATGAAGAAGCCATTTCAATATCATCTGCTCACTTGAATACTGCAGACTTATATAAAATATTAGTTATGGAAATGTGGAAGTCTAGGATTTCTATTTTTTTATTTGTTTCTTGGAGTGTAGCTAGGTACTATTTATAAAAGTGCTAAGTGACCAAAAATTGGACAATAATAGATGAAAATATGAATTCAGCACTTCATTTTTTTATGCAGATAAAGTCTTTGTACTTTTACTTTCCATGATTGTGGGACAATGTTTATGTAGGTAGTCTTCTTTTCTGCTAATGTAGTTAATCCAGGTCAAGAACAAAGAGCTAGTGATATTGTATTTCCTCAATAAATTTATGTCAAGAGATTGAATAATTCCTGATCAAGACATTGCAGACAATATCTAGTTATCCTTCTCCCACAGAGGGTTACAAATTGTTTGGAGACCTTTTTAAATACTGTACTATTATACTTAGAATTTTTAAAAATTTAATTATTTTAATTAGTGATACTAAATTATATAATATATTCCTTTGTCTTCATATAAAATTATTTGTGTTCTTCATTCATATCTTGGGTATTTAACATTTTTTATTCATTTTATTCATTTTAAGCCATCAAGAATATATTTTTTAAGGAAAAATTTGATTCCACAATAACCAACTTTTTCTAGGATCTATAGGGAGAATTCTTAAAACCCTAAAAATTTCCACTAAGTATATTCCATAGCAATAAAATAGTGAATGTCTACTAGAAAAATTCTATTCTTATAGATTAGTTTGTTTTAAATCATTTTATCATTTAGAATACTTTTCTATTTTCTCCACAGGTCCGTATATTTTAAATATTTTGATTTCAAACTCTTTTATTTTCATTGTTAGTATTTTGAAAGCTTTGATCAATTTTTACTCCATATTCATCAGTAATTATTGAAAATCACCCGTTCATAATGTTACCTAATGATGTATAAATCACCATCACTGTTTATTTGTTTGCTCTCCTGGTGATTAAACCCAGGGTTTCACCTAAACTAGTCAAGTGCTTTCCTACTGACCCCTCACGGTATTGATTGTAAAGAGGAAAATTTGAAGTATGAATTGATTCTTAAACATTTCTATGTGGTATGCAAAGTGTACTTTAGGTTGAGTCTTTGATTATTACTAAACACTTTAAAGCTGAAAGAATACTCAAAGCGTACTAACTGTTCACTTTACCTTTGTGATACAAGCAGGTTAGAATCAGTGGTTCTTGAGATTTCTGTATGTTTCCGTTTTATTTATTATGATGTAATTATATTTAATATGCCTAAGTTTTAAATGTGATTTTTTTCAGTACTGAGTATTAAGCACAGGACTTTCTCAGTACATCCTCACGTTTTCCATTTTTATTTTGAGACAGGGTCTCAGCAAATTTCTAAGTTCCCTAGCTGGACTAGAACTTGAGATACTCTTCCCTTAGCCTCCTGCCATGCTGGGATCGGAGGCACATGCCACCACGCTTGCCTTAAGTGTAAACTTTTATTTGCTAGTAGGAGTTCATTTCAATTTAACATTCATATTTCAGCCTGTTCTTAAGTACTTTATTTGCCTATGCAGGATAAGATGAAGCATTATTGTTCCTGAGGCACTGCCCATTTTGTTTTGAATAGGATTATTACGTGGTGATTTTGTGTCCTACTGAAATGGATGTGCAAGTTCGAAGGGTACTACAGATCCCAATGTGGTCCCAAAGAGTCATCTACCTTCAAGGTTCAGCCCTTAAAGATCAGGATCTATTGAGAGCCAAGTAGGTGTTCTTACCTTTTTTCTATGTTTCAGTCATTTTGAGTGCCTTAACATCTTTTTTCACCATCATATTTTAGCAATTTTTGCTGTTGCATGATTTGTTCTGGTATGTTTGTGTACAAAGGTGAGCGTGATTCCTGTTGCTGGCCAAATTAAAATATTAAAAAGCAAAATCAGTGCATTTACCTATCTATCCCAGCATTGTGTTAGGATGAAAATGGTCAATGGACTGTGCCTGCATGACGCAAGAAAAGCAACATGCTGTGATTGTCTCAGCTGTCAGAAATGGGCGGAGGTGTCCAGACTCACTGTTACTAGAATAGGCTCTAAAGTCCTCAATATCACTTTTATTCCACAAATCAAAATGTGGACTGAGCATTATGTGAGATCTCAAAAAAAGATCCAATGTTTAAATTTAAAGAGTGAGCAATATGTACTAAGCAGATAGCACTTACATTGCCTGGGGTTAGAGATAAAAGAATCCCTAGTGCTGGAAGAATCAGGAAGGCTAGAGGTCTCCCTGAGCTGCCCTCTTGGCGTTGTGCACTTGCCAGCTAACTGGACTTATGGCTCTGGCCACAGGGCCCGGGTGTCCTACCACACCAGCAGCGTTAAAGCATAGAAGGAGATCCTATGACTGTCAGGAAATCGAGACTTTGGCAAAACAGCACCTTTACTTCAGAAGCCAGAAGAAATCCTTAGTAGAAAATGGTTTTGCTAAATGATTTCTGCTTATTTTAATGTTTTAAACATGTCTTCATGTTTATCCTTGAGATGTTCTACATGCTCTTAAAGCAATATTTAAAAATCTCCCTTCCAAATTTTATAATTTACCTCCCTTCCCCTCTCCTCTTCACCCCTTTCCTTCCCCTCCTTTTCCTTCCCCCTCCTTTTATTTCTTTGTTCTGGAGTGCCTGTATACATGTGTATTATCCCATGCAAATTTTCTCCACTTGCTGTGTGTTTGAGCTTGTGTGTATGAAGGAAAAGAAAAGTAAAATGCACTTTGTGTTGCTTGATCATGCAAGAAATAACTGGATGTCCTAGTAGTCAGACCTCTGAAATTATATCTGATCGATAGATATTGAAGCCAATTTAGCTTAGGAATTTTTCAGTGATCTTTATATCTGAAACAATAAAGTAATCTCAGACTATCAGGAAGTAATGAATAGTATACAACTGATTTAAAATTTCTGAGATGATGTTAGTGTTTTTGGTGGGTTAAATATTTCATATATGTTATCATTGTACATAAGAATGTTCTATAAATTTTCAGATGTTCCTAGTACTTCAAGTAAACCCTTGCTTTGGGTGTTCATGATTTGTAATCTATACCATGACTTGGGTGCCATAGAGGGAATATTTGTTCAGATATTAATACAATCTGGACCCTTATATTCATTTGTATTGATAATTATGTATGCTTAATTTGTTGCATGAATTATGTTCTTCTCAAAATAGAAATGAGTAATGTCCATAGTGTTTTCTATATGAATATGTGTAACATATGAAAGCTTTTTTTTGTCTAAGAAATTAATCTGAGCTGTTAGTAGCTAAACTGGAAATTATTTAAGATGAACATAACCAACTTATTGTTAATAGTATTAATGAAATTTCTCAGCAAAGTCAATCATATTTATAGGAAATATTCCTTCATAGAAATGAAAGAGAGAAAGAAACAAAGAAAGAAAGGGAAAGAAAACAGAAAGGGAGAGAAAGATAAAAGAAGGAAAGATAGAACAGAAACAAAGATAACAGAAATAGCCAGCTGCTAAGACTCCAGGAGTCAAGTTAAGATAGAAGTTAGTGTGGTGAAGTATCTATTTTTATGTTCATTTCTAACCCTAATTTCATATAAAAGACTTGGGATTTAATGTTAACTAATACATTCTTCAACACAATTCCTCACGCAAGGAACAAGGAGTAGATTTCTCCAAACAAGTTCCAAAGGTCAGTTGCATGAGTTTTGAATTGCTTTGTGGAAAGTGATGTTTAGAAAGTGTCATCCAATACTCATGTTATCTTAGTGCTCATGACGCAACATTCTCCAGAACTGTTTGGTTTGGATTAATTTCATGGACCTTTCGTTTTTCCATAGAATATATTGTTTAGAAAGGATTTATTTTATCACAGTGTACCAGAAAATTAAATCTTTCTTCATTTTGCAATTAACATTCTTCTGCTTATAAGATATTATGTGTCAGGCAATAAGGCATATTTACCATTGAGTTAAAAGATGTAGAATGTTAGCATAAGGGGAAGAATTTGGAAGAGACAGTGCATCGTCTTTAGGAAATCTGAGTGTGCAGTAGAGTTTGATTTATGGATACTGAACAGCACTATACCCTCTTACAATTTAACAGAAGCATGAAGTTGAAGTGTAATTAATCATGAAATACAGGCCAACAACCCTCCTTAATTTATGCAAAACTTATATATGGAAACATATAATCAGAAAAGACAATAAAGTTTTTTATTTGTTCATAAACCACTGATATATATACATATATATATATTCCAACAAAAGGTTTTATTCAGTGTCAAATATAGCTATGATCTGTTAGACATTCAATTTTGATTTGAGGTGAGGATATACATATTCTACATGTAGCACATGCACCACGAGTTAAAATACTATCTTTCCAGACAATCAGTAGTGATTTCAGTGTTAGACTGTCTTGTGTTTCTGTCTGTATTTAGGATGGATGATGCTGAAGCCTGCTTTATTCTGAGTAGCCGCTGTGAGGTGGATAGAACATCATCTGTAAGTTTCTAAAATCTCTCTTAGTAAATTATACTTTCCACACATTAGAAGATTTTTGTTAATTTGATTTTTAAAAATTTACCAATAATAAATATGGGCAAACTGAGAACTTTACTAAAGGGTATAAAATATTTCTTAACTATCCTGGTCAAAATGTAAGATAAATTGTGCTACTGTTTCAAGACTGTTCTTGAAGTAGATTCTAATGATCTAATTTTCTATTGATCAAAATCAAAACAGAAGTAGGTCATTTTTATTGTGTGTATTAAATATGTCCTACATATGCAGTTTAAAGGGGTCTCAATTTAAAGCCTCAACTCTAAACCAAAGCAGATGGATCAAGCAGTCTGCATTAGAATCAACTGAAGAGTGTCTAAAAAATGTACGTGTAGAAACTCTATTCAAGATATGTGGGGTAGGGATCAGAAATCTATACTTAAAAAGATTCCCAGATAATTATGAAACACATCCAGTTGTGGTCACATTTGAGTTAAAGGGTCTCTGATGTATATTTTAGGTTCAAAGTTCTAAAAGCTTATAATTAAATAAATTATTACAGTATAACTTTAGACTTAAAAATCTATTGCTATTATATATTTAAAATGCTTTATTACTTTAAATACTGTTAATGCATTCCTAAGCCAGTCAGCTGATCTGTAGACATATCTGTGGTGTGCAAATAAAGAACAACATTTGATAGCTTTTGTACAATGTAAAGAAAAGGCAAAATATGCATAGTCTTTTTGATCATTTCTGGGTCATCAAGTAGGCACATTCTACTGTGACTCCTCAATGTGCCAAACTCTGGATTTCCTCACTCTCCTTTATCCCAACTCATTAGTCAGTTTTATAAATTCAAAACCAATGTTCTCCTCCTCCATTTGAATAAGGCTAGCATGGGTAGAATTCTTTCCCCCTAGAATTCATATGCTGCGGTATCAACCACCAATACCTCAGAATGTGAGACAATATTTTAGAGGCAATGATTTGGAGATAAGATTTTGGTGATACTGTTTTAAGAGAGCTAATCTATCAAAATTGCCAAGTGACTAGAAATAGGCCTCATCTAGTGTGAAGAATATCTGAAAATAAAAGGACATGTTCGAGAGCAGTACACAGGAATAACTCCAATTGAACACGAGGCAGCCAAAGAGAGAAGCCTGGTACAGACTTTTCCTCACAGATCTTAGATGGGACCAATTTTGCCAGTGCCTTCAATTCATATTTCCAGCATGCACAGTTGTGAGACAGTAAGTTTCCATTATTTCAGTCTCACAGCTTGGAATACTTTGTTATAGCAGCCTCAGAGATCTGTTAATTGGGCATCAGTGAAAAACATGATGAGAAAAGTAACAAAATATTACTTTTTGAAAAAAATATATGTTTAAAAAATCACCATTCTTCCTTTTCCTTATTTTCTGCTCTAATTTAGACCACGTCATCTGCAGTTCATTCGACAATATTTCAGTAGTTCTTTAATTGTTCTTTTGTAATAGGTGCTCCATACATCTTTATAGAAATGTGTTTGAACTGAAAAGAACCATAAATATTATGTTTCTATAGTTATTTGATTTATATAATTGTGAGTGTTGTGCCCTTCACGTGGGCAGTTTCTGTTAAAATACTTGCAGTCTTTCAGTATCATTAGTGCTTTCAAATAGTAATGGGAGTATAAGCATTGGGAAATAAATACACGATAGCTTCTTTTTTCTGATTTTCTTTTATTTTAAAGAGAGTAGTACATGAGAAACAAACAAACAAACAAACAAAAAAATAGAACAGTAGCAGCATACCAGTACCGCGAATAGGTGGTCTGAGAAACTGATTAGAAGGTAACAATATGCAATGGAATTACAATGGTGAACATAATAGCTTCTTGAATACCCTTTCCAATGTGAAATTGGGAGCTTCTAGGTAAACAAATGCATTCTATTTCTTCTTGGAACTCTACAAAATTGACAGGAAGTGAGTAAGGAGATTTGCATCCTTAAAGACAAAGGGTTTGATAGCTGAGAAAAAGTCAGAACAATTTGGCAAGGAAGAAAGCAGTTAGACAGAGGATGACAAGTGGTTCAGCCAGAAGAAAGTTGGAACTTAGGTTGGGAGAGGAAGTAAATCAGATGCAGGCTATTTTCTGCAGTAGAAGTTCAAATCTCTCAGGAAATAGAGGCACCTGGATAGTAAGGCAAAAAGTACAATTATGTATATGAAAAATGGGTAAAATTTGGTAAGGGATAGGGATGCTTTTGATTTCTGCAGATAGTCAATTTTATAAATTCAAAAATTAAATTTTGAGTTGAGTTCCCAAACCTGGAGAAGAGGTTCACTGTTTGGGTAATTTGATCCAGGTGTGCTCTCTGTGAGCATTAATTGTGATTGTCTGCTTACCTGGATTAAGAAATGCCTAATAGGTGAGTAAACCACACTTCTGCTTGGATCTGCCAGATGTTTCTAGAGATGGTTGGCACAGAGGCTCCCAAACTGCACAGAAAGGGGAAGATGCACCCCAATTGTGGGTAGCCCCATCCAATAGGCTTCATCCTAAATGAAATGAAAGGGGAAGTAGCCTTCCTTTGGAAAGCTCCATTTTGCTTGAGTGGGGCATTTTTGCTATTGTCTTTGTTCATAGACCTCAGCTTAGTTTCTTTAGCCTTTCAGTTTAGACTCATACCAGCCACTCTCCAGGAAGCTACCAGGCCTTCAGTTCAGGATTTGTGTTGCATCCGTGATCCTTCTTGTTCTATGGCTTCCAGCTTCTTGGACTGACTAATTCTAAAATTAGCATAATTGAGAACAAATTGACTCTGTGATTGTGATATGCTTCTCCCAGATGGTCTCTAGCATCCTCACAGCCAAATTCACATCTCAAGCACCACAAGAGTAGAGGTATTTTCTCTGGGAGAATGGTCCATCCCAAGAGAAAATATCGTGTGTGTGTGTGTGTGTGTGTGTGCATTAATATAAAAAAACTGAACAGGGATGTTATTGTCATAGTGAGGGCCTCTTGATCAGAGGAACATGAAGAGGATGTCATTGCATGCTGATAATTTCATAAAATTCTAGGAAATTTATGGAAGAATAAAAAATATATAATATCCATAAGGGCCATTAAATACACTGCATCTCTACTCCTTTGGCAAAGAGCGGAGAGTCTCTCACCTTTGCATGTTTGTGTGGGTAGAAACTCATGAAAGTCTCTACAGCCCTTTGAGAGACAGAAATTTTCAGGAAACTATTAGAAAATGAACTGCAGACATTCCTAGTGTCCTCATATCTGAATATTTCCATAGGCTATCATTTCTCTTTTTAAAAAACCATCCTTATCTGCACTTGAGCACAATCATTCTAACAGAGAAGACTTATTTAGAAAGCATATACAAAACTAGACAAATTATGCAATATTAAGTAGGTAACATTGTTAGCAAAGAGAACTCTGTATTCCACTCACCAATTCTGTTATACATTGATTTATTTTTTATGATTCCATATAATGCTTACCTACATTGGTAAGCTAATTCTAGATTAATTGGAAGATCTTTAATATAATTTGTGGCATCTTGCTCAGATTTTTTTTTTTTTTTTTTTTTTTTTTTCGTTCGGGGAACCGAACTCATGACCTTGCGCTTGCCAGGCAGGCGCTTTGCCGCTGAGCTAAATCCCCAGCCCTCTTGCTCAGATTTGATCATGATCTTCTACACTAGAATCAAAGTTGCTCCAATGTAACACCATGTCAGCTTTTAACTATTCCACCATTCCTTCCTTCATCCATTCAACAAGTATTTATTGAATGCTTTATTGCCTATATACTGTCCTTCCAGCTGAATATCCAATTCTGAAACTAACAATTATAAAGTTTCTGTTCTCATCTCCTTCTGGACTTCATCTCCTTGTGGAAGTCACAACTAGTGTGCTAAATAAATAACTCTATACAATATTAGGAAAGTGTGAAAGAGAACACTGAGGCAGAGGTATTTGAAATGTGGGAGAAAGCAAACGTTTTACATTAAATTATTAATTTAAAAATTGTAAAGACTAACTTACTTATAATCACTAATCCTATAAATTATTAAGACAGAGAACAAATCAAACATGCACTGTTACCTTCAGAGTGAGGTTATTGTACCTGCTGCTTAATCCATTTTCCTTGTAAGTTTTACCCTTTCTTTCTTCTCTTCACATGACTTCCTGAAAAATGCAACAAGGTAAGTCAACCTTAGGACCTCCATAACCCCTGATTCCACTTTGTTGCTACCCTGTCACTCAAGTCCTTTGCAAGAGCATCAAGGCAGGGACCCTAGTGCCAATGACTTTTAATTGTAAACCTTACTTATTTGCTCTGTTTTGTTCAATTATCACTGTTTAATTTTCTCTTTCATGTTATTCTTTTACCTGTTTGCCTTTGTGTTCTTATTCTGTGGATTTTTTCTGTCTTTTCACTACCTTTAAAAAGCTTTCTTCTAGTGTTTTAAATATGAATTCACAAGCACTTTCCTCAGTTCCTTTTTTACTTGAATTTGTTTAGATCTTATTGGACAATAAAACTAACACTCAGAATTAAATTATGACCAGGAATGAGCTGCTTCCTCTGTCCCCCAAATCTGACAGTAATTTTTTTTTTGTTTGTTTGTTTGTTTTTCTCCGGTACCAGGAACTGAACTCACGACCTTGCGCTTGCCAGGCAGGCGCTTTGCCGCTGAGCTAAATCCCCAGCCCCTGTCCCCCAAATCTGTCTGAGCTACTAATTCCTAATGTCTCAGACTATGACCTTGTTTGAAACAGGGTATTCACAGAGACAACCAAGGTAAAATAGGGACGTTAGAGTAGCCCTCAATCCAACACAAATAGTGTTCTTTAAGAAAAGAAAATCTGATGACAAAAACCGCAATGAGAATGCTATGAAGACACTAAGAAAACTATCCTCAAACTAAGGTAAAAGGAATGGTACTGAACTTCAGAAATTCACAGCCTTCAGAAGGAACTGGTCCCAGTAATACCATGAT